TTCCTGCTTGACTGATTTTAGCAAGTTTATGATAAGCATTCACTATTGTTATCCTAAACAGATTCTCATCACCTCTAGGATGTCTAAGATCCAAAGAAGGATTTTAGCTGCAGTCAAGTTTAAATTTTGAGTAAGCCTTAAAACATATCCACATAATGCTTTCCACTCTTAAGACCTTGTGCATCTCAAGGTGTGGGAAGGGGTATTGATCTCTGCAGGTTAAATGTGAAGGGCAAATCTTACCTGAATTATATCCCCAGTATTAAAGCTCATCTCATCATGATTCCTTGCTTCAAATGGATACAAAGCTCTGTAATTTACCAAGGCATCTGAACTCCTGGACTCTGAGACACCACCTGCATTGCCTGAAAGGGTAAGAAAACTAGTGAACATTTTGATAAAGCTGAAGAGATACCACTGCTACAACAACTAATGTTCAGCAGCATTTGTGAAGATTTTACTTTGAAACCTAAAATGCCACCATTTCTATTATCTTTGCATCTATGTTCTCCAAGCCTGTGACTGAAGTTGCTCACAGTGAATGTTTTATACAGTGTAGCTGAGGTGTGCAAATATCTCACAGCACTGTTCTAATTTGGTTCTTGCTGAACTCAGTGATAAAAATGATTACTAAAAACTGACAAGAAATAATGAAAGATGAATGAACTAATCAAAACTGCCTTTAGCAAAAATACTGTTAAACCAGTATTTTTCAAAGTCCTACTAGAGATAGATTGACTTCAGTTCTTAATAGTTTTTAATAAGAGACATTGAGTAATGCAGAAATAAACTAGGCTTCAATGCTAACAAAACACTCTGGTGAGAGTTACATGCCTATCCACCCATCACTGAGCACAACTCCTCCAAATTAGCATTCTGCATTATTGACAGAAAGTAGAGGCCTTAGGAAAAAGCTAAAATATTACTCCTTCCAGCATCTGTGATTTATTGGCCATGATCACTGGAAGAGTTGTCATCAGACTCAAGGGTGCTGAAGACTGATAAATGTAGCCTAAGTGTATAGGATGATTTATTATTAAATAAAAAAAAACAAACCAGCAATCTTTCATGTTTCTTAATAATATTTTAGATGACAAGGCTGCCACAGTGTCACATCCACAATAGTCACATTTAAAGAACCAGATAATGCTCAGGAAAAGAAGAACCATTAAAGCAAAAATCCAACAGACTAAGATTACCTTCATTTTTCCAGGGTGGTTTAAGACTTTTACCCTCTGTTGGTTTCAACAGATCAGCAAACTTCTCATTTATGGTTAATTTAGAAATGTGTTTCTCCCCCTCTTGAGAGTTGGCCACTTCTTTTATCTTCTTCATTTCTTCGTTCTGCTTACGCCTCTCCTCAGCTTCTTTTGCAATTTGTTCTTGCTTTCTTTTATCTTCCAGTTGTCTCTGTCTTTGTTGTTCTGTTTCTCTCAAGATCGTGGCTTGTCTGTTTTTCTCCTCCTCTGCATGAAGCTGTTGTTTATTTTCCCTTTCTTTCATCAAAGCAACTGCTTCTTCAGCTTTCAGCTTTTCTTGAACTTTTTCCTGCATTCTTTCTTCCTCCAGTCTCTTCCTTTTCTCCTGCTCTTCCCTTCGGATATTTTCCTGCCATCTGTTCTCCTTCTCCCGTTTTGCTTTTCTGAAAGGAAAGAAAGAGAGAGGAATAGGAGAACATTCGGATAAAAATTAATGACACAGTGTTCACAGAGTAGCTGACTGAACTTTTTAGTAAAACTGAGGCTATGATTATTGACTACTTTTCTCTCTGGGCAATAAGCTCTTCCAGAGGAGACCTTGTTTGCTCTTAACATGAGTGCCAGTGTATTTCTAGTGTAAATAACAAAGGGATTACAATAGTTGGTAAAGAAACACTGCCACATCCTCCTTGTGCAGTGCCACCACGAGCACTTCTGCCCACCTACATCCTGATGAGCAAGAAGTGATCTGAAAATTGGACAAAGGTGGTTTTATGCTGTCCACCAATGTAGTATCCAAATCTCATGATTGGAAATGAAGATTTCCAAATATATTAATATCAAAATTTCACTTTGGTGTATACATAAAAATAGCCCTTGCATACTGAGCTTTTCTGCTGTCATTTTTTGCCTTCATCTATTGTTGTGATTATACACTTACCCCTGCTGTGGCCACACTCTTCAGCAGACAGAACCTGGAAATGTGACTGTATTCTCTGAAATTATGGAATCACAGAATGGTTTGGGTTGGAGGGACCTTAAAGATCATCTAGTTTCACCCCTCCTGCCATGGGCAGGGACACCTTCAACTAGACCAGGTTGCTCAGAGCCCCATCCAACCTGGCCCTGAACACATCCAGTGATGGAGCATCAACACCTTACCTGGGCAATCCATTCTGGTGCCTCATTACTTTATTAGTCATTATATTCATTATACTATATTACTCAGATGCTATTTTGTGTCTCAACTCTCCAAAGAGGTTATCATCCAATTCAACACCCTTAAAAATCATTGTATTTTATCCATCAAGACCTTTTCTCTGCAAAGAGCAGATCAAACTCTTTGAGCTGCCTTATGAAGATGTTGTTGAAGAGGGGCCATGTCTAGAGGAGACTGATTCATCAAATCACTCTGGCAGGTTCACTTATCTGATGGGCATTTTACTGTGTTTTCAAGCACAGGACAGGAGCTTGTAGGAACTGTGCAGTAGTATTGCTCTCTATCAGATAGTTATGTTCAACAGAAAAATTAACAGGACATCATTATAGAATCATAGAATCCTTTAG